TACTGTTAGAAATGATTTGGTATCTCGATTCACACCTACAAATATGGGAATTACAAGGAAAGTTCCTGTTTTAGCTTCTAGCCTTGACTGTCGCTATCATAAACTTCAATTTCTTAGTTCAGAGCAACGAACAGCAGTGTATGAGATCCTTAAGAAGAAATGCGATGACCTATGTTCTACTACTACAAGAGAAGCTACTACTAGTACTAGTGAGGATCTAGTTGATCATGATGAATGTGAATTACCACCAAGCAAGAGAAAGAAGGAAACAGCTCTGAATTTTCTGTTAGGAGAAGATGAATTGCTTGATAAGGACTGTCCTGAGAGTGAAGTTGATCGATTTCTTGATGAGAAGCAACTTCCTTCTGATACAAATGTACTGGATTGGTGGAGAGTCAATTCTAGTAAGTACCCCCTGTTAGCTTCATTGGCAAAACGATATTTAAGTACTCCAGCTACATCAGTCCCTGCAGAAAGGATATTCTCAGCTGCTGGACTCACAGTTAATCAACAAAGAGCCAGCCTAAGTCCAGAGAACGTTGATATGTTAATTTTTTACAAAAGAATCTGTCTAAAAAGTAATTTTTTGACATTGAAAAAGATTTTTAATAATTAAGTGTGTGGGCGGAAATTAATTATTAAATTTATTCAATTAAGTGGGCGGGGTCATTTAGGATATCCGGATATCCTACCACTTCCTTAAGTGGAAGTAACAGATTACAATTAACAATATCCTTTTCAGCCCTACTAAGAATCCAAAATGGCGGCAGAAAAATTTTACTGTATTTACTGTATCGCAATGAATATACTCAAAATTCTATGAATATACTTAGCGCCAACTGGTCTATCCCTTCAGTAAATATTGTAGGTAGGGCCACTGGGGGCGTGAGGAGGAGGAGGCTCTGGCCTCAATCTCCATGTGACGGAGTCCAGATGGGTAAGCTGACACTGACCTGGCTGCAAGCCCCTGCTGAGACAGGAATGCTGCAATAAGGCACAGAGTGCCCTGTTGCAGTGGGAGAGGCTGTAGGTTGGTCCTGCGACTGAATTCCAAGTAATGGTTACTGGCTGAGCGATAGAAACAATGAGAAGAAGCTGCTAGTCCTTCCTTGAACAAGGACTGAACAGTCACACCCAGTGAGGGTACCACCACTGAGTCGGGTCAATGAGGACTTCCAGTACTGCTGGAGAAACTGAGGAGGCTCACGTGGAGGCCTATGGATTCAAAGATAAAAATTAATCTAATTTGTTACAACATAGGGCATCACCCGATGTGTTCAGGCTGCCTGCCAGATGCTCTGCTACACGTACATGAGTAAAGTCATGCTTAGCTTCCCAATAGAATAGACACCAGAGGAGGTAAGCGAGGAGTGGATGCTGAGCTGACTTTGAGGATAGAGTGCAAACTGTTGCTGAGTTATCAGATTGAAAGAGTATGCGCCTTCCCCTCCAGTTGTCACCACATGTAGCTGCTGCAATGACCACAGGAAGCAATTCCT